TATATATATATATATATAATATTATTATTATTTTATATTTAAGATATAAGTTGAAGTTATTGAATATCTTTTTATTAAACTTTATGGTAGTTTATTTTTTATTAAAATTAATAATAATAAGAAGAAATTAAGTTACTCATTATTTAAAGAGTTTTAAATTAAAGTTAAGAAAATAATAAAAAGTTAAATTTCACGAGCAAATATTAATGAGTCAAATTTGAATAATCTAAATATTAGCAATTTTTTTAGTGATTATGACTCATTTATAAATGATATAATTAAAATACAAACAAAGTCTAAAATAGAGTTTTAATTGGAAGAGAAAGTTTTGTCCAACAGTACTACTTTTAACATTCTTGGATGGTGAAAAACAAACAGGATCAATAATCCTATTTTGCAAAAAAATTGTTAAGGATGTTTTGGTAATCCTAATTTCAATTGTAACTTCATAATTTGTATTTAGTACAAGAGGTAGATTTTTTAGTCTTCATCGTTTTAAATTCCATGAATTTACTTTATAGACATTTATATGTGCACAAAATTGGTTGAAATACCATCAACAAGGTAATAAATAATAAAATTTTGTTATTTAATAAAAGTTGTTTTATTTTTTTATTGATTTTAATTATTAATTTAAATTGTCTAATCATTCAATTTCTTGTCATGTAATTTCTATTGTTATTACTAAACCAAAATTATATATAGACTTGAAAGACAAGCGTTTGCAAAAATATGGAGAAATTGATTCCAATGATGAGATTAAATGTCTAGATATTTATTTTTTTTGAAATTTATATTATATAATTTAATTTAAAATTTTAATCTAACTAATTTTTGTACAATTTTTTTCACAGGTCTTGGAGAATATTGTTAACACATGATCATGATTTTGGAAGTCTAATTACAATTTTTATTATGTTGATTTTTTAAAAATTTTATTTACAAGAATTGAATCTTTTGTAATATTTATTTATAAGATTTGTTATGTTAAATTTTTGTAATGTTAAAGACCTAGCAAATTAATATTATGTTTACTTGTATGAAATTATCTTTTTATTGATTTATTTACTTTATACGTAAGGAAAATGTAGATATGGGTGAACAAGTACCTAATAAGTACGGGGATGGGGATTAAAATTGCTATATATCCGCACGAATATAAAGTATAGAGTACGGATATTATTTTCTAACGCGAGTATGAAGATGAATATTATAGAATTTTATCCACGCCCTATCCATTGTCATCGCTACATTAGAGTGTCATCCTTTCCTACCTCGTTTGTTGTAGTCTCTAAACTACTTTTCCTAACAGAATGAATATATATATATATATATATATAATGAAAATATAAGTTTTAATAGAAATATGTGATTCGTTACTAAATCCAACGTGGATAGTGATATTCAATGCTCAGAAACTTATAGTAAGGTTCCTTAAGTACTACTCCTACTACAATAATACAATTAACCATCTTAAAGGAAGTGAATTGTAGAAAAGCTAACACGAAGGGAGCCCAAATCTTTATGCAATTCATAGGAGACATCACCATCCATTTGATAATGATCAACCACGTGCATTGAAATTAAAAAAATTAAAAATATATATATTTTTCATAAATGCACGAAAATAATTTTTTTTAGCAAAATAATAATTTTTTTTAAAACTCCCTCCAATTATATCAAAATAAAAGGGAGAATATAACATCCCATTTTTTTCATAAATAAATTAATAAATCTTTTAATTAATTAGTTGGAAATAATTTTTAAAAAAAATGAGATTTGTTATAAAAGCAGATGTTTTTTTTTATAATTGAGTTTTTTTTAAGAAGATAGGGGATAATTAAATTGATCTTTTGCTAACAGTTACGCACGTGGGTAATGATTAGAGTTTTTATTTAAATATGTTATAATTATGTTTGTCTCAATTCAAAATTTGATCGTGTATCTTTTGATAATCTAAAGAAGGAGGAGAATTGGAGATGGCTAAAGGGGAACTCGATGATCCAACTCAAGATTTTAACATCCATCAATGTAAGGTAAAGGGATGTGAGAACATCATTGAGATATGGGTTAATTGTTGAGTAGTAGGATTGACATTAATCCCTAGTTTGTATATATATGTGTATGAAAGAGATTAAACTTGAACCTTGTATAGAGGAGTTCTCTTTTATTTCTTGCATGTCTTGAGTGGTTGAAAAGTTATTCTCATTTTATTTTTACTATAATTTAATTTTTTTGAAATTTTTGTGGCTTCTTCTTGGTGAAGTGAGACCAAACTCATGTGCAATCATACCTTTAGAATCACTTGAAAAAGTTTTGAAATTTTTTGGGCACGTTTACTATTTTTAATGGGTGTATTTATTTTTTTTAGTCTACTATGGTGCTATTTTTATTCTATTAAACTAATTAGATATGATATTAGTGAATTTGATGCAATAGAAACCTTCTACATGTCATTTATGATATCTTTGAATTTTCTTATAAATTTACAAGTTCTAGAAGTATTTAATATTGATTTTTTTTATTAAAATTTCATAAATTTGTCCGGTTAAGTTTTTATTGGATGAAAAAGAGTTTATGTGTTAAGTTTTTATTGGATAAAAAATAGTTTATATGTTAAGTTTTTATTGGATGAAAAATAGTTTATATGTGAGATAAATGCTAGAAAATATATATGATGAGTGCAAACATACGAGGAATACTCTAGAATTTTCTTAGAATATTGTAAATTGATTTCATATTAATTTATGAATTTATGGTGTAAGCTTTGTTTTCTATAATGGTGATAAATAATTGTAAAAATGGTATTTGTGTTTCATCATAAATCATGATAAAATTATGACCTTTGTGAAATATCTCAAAATTTTAAAAAAAGTTTACAATTTTAAAAAAAAAAATCAATCCTTATTTTACAAAGATAATTCAACATAGATATTTAATTCAAAGGTAATACTTAAGAGTTGAATTTTGGGTATCTAAATTTATATGATGCAATATATGTTGTTTGAAATATCTCTGAAAAATTTTATGTGTTTTAAAGTTGATTTAGTATGTCTAATAAATTTCATGCATGTAATTCGATATATGTAAAATTATGAAATTCGATTGGATTAATTATCTTTGGGGCATTATTTGATTATTTGCAACACATGATTGATTTGTTATACTCTAGACAGATCTATCAATATTATTATGAATTGTTTAATTTTCATGATTTAATTTCATTTAATTAGCAAGTTTGACTTGATTTTTTGTTAATTGAATTGGGATTTTATAAAAATATGTTATATTATTGTGCAACTATGATATTGGGAAACATGTGAATTGTGATAAGTGACTGAAAATCCTAAGTGAAACTTAAATGTGATGGAAATTGTGAAATGTGAATTCATATGACATGTGAAAGTGATTGTGTAAATAAGTCTAAATATAACTTAACAGGAATGTGACTTGTGAAATGTGTAAATATGAATGCAAAATATGTGACCATGCATAGAGTCTGCTATATGACATACATCATATGCATAATGTGTTTTGTCATGAGTATGATGTGGAATACACTACTAGAGAATGCCCTCTTGTGTAAAAACTCAAGGATCAATCGTCGGGGATAGTTGGATTTGAAAAGCTCCAATCTCACCCATTGTATGCATGGGGTAGAACTTGTGTAAAATAGTTATTCCAACGAGATCGTAATTGTATATTCTCTTAGTATAAAGTGTTGTAATGGCTTGATTCGGCATGAACTCCTAGGCTATTCAGCCTTCGGACAAGGATAAATGTGTTATACTAGCGTTGCATACATATAAGTAGAAGAGTCTTG